GCCTCTTCCAACCTTGTTATTCTAAGCAACCTAAGTAAACGCATAATCCAAGGCCTGGATTATGATCGTATGATCTTAATCCTAACGAGGGCCAGATTTTCAAGGGCGGATTGATATGTAGGAGTCCAGATGTTTAATATGCCACGCAAGGAGCCTGAGTGGCGTAGGAGGCTAATGCCTCCTACTAAGGCAGCATTTAACATCCAGCTGCCTGTGAGTTCAATTCTCACCAGGCTCAAGGTCGACTCAGCCTTCCATCCTTTCTAAGGTGGGTAAAATGAGGACCCGGTTTGTGGGGGCAATAAGCTGACTTTGTATAAATATACAAAAGGATGAAGGCTATTGCTTAACGCATTGTAAGCCTCCCTGAGTCTTCGGAGAAGGGCGGCATATAAAAATAAATAAATAAAAATGCCACCTTCCCTCTGAAATTATACACCCCAATCTTATTTATTTACTAGCTGGATACCTGTGCTTCACTACGAAACTATGTGATTGGGCATGATAAATTGAACTAACCAGAGTAATGCCCGGGGAGATTCCACAACAGATGTCCTTCTCATTGTCATCATCGCCAACGAAGTCTATCTGGAGAAATGAAGGCTGCTGCTGAGGCCCTGCCATGATACTCCCTGTGGTAGATCTGCCCCTGCACTAAATATGTTGGCATATTTAGCGATAGCTGCCTGATTAACATAGGGGTTATTAGATGCATCCTTTTTTACAGCCTCTCTATTGACTTCGGGATGACTTTGACGGGATGACTTTTTTTGCAGCTTCCCTTACTTGGGTTTTCCTAATTGCATCTGTAAATATTTTCCTGCGTTTTCCCCCCCCCCTTAATTTTAACTGGTTTTACAGTAGAAGGAACAGATTCGTCTGAACTGAGGAGGTCGGTGTAAGAAGTGAGTTGGGGCTGGGACACGACGCAGGAGAAATTCGGTTCACAATCTGTTGGCTCAGTGGTGGTCGGTGATTGAAACTCATAAGGGAATATCTCTCCCGCCGCCTTGAGTTCATTCGGAAGCAGTTCCATAGAGGGAAGGCGTAGACATTTTGGTGAGGTAGTGACGTTTAGTACTGTAAGGAGCCCCAGACCACCCCTGAGTGAAGGACTGGAATGTCTGCCAGTTTGAACTGAGGTAACGGAATGTGAGGCAACTGGCAGTTGGAACAGAGTTCTTTTCAGGTAGGGAGGAGGAATAGAACAGACGTTCTCCTTAGCATCAGAGCATGTTAATATACTGTATATAAAAAAGAGCCTTGATAGTACAGTGGTCTACGCACCCTGTTATTAACACAGCTGCCTGCAATTTACTGCTGGTTCGAATCTCTCCAAGGCTCAAGGTTGACTCAGCCTTCCATCCTTTCTAAGGTAGGTGAAATGAGGACCCAGTTTGTGGGGGCAATAAACTGACTTTGTATAAATATACAAAAAGTATTAAGGCTATTGCTTAACGCATTGTAAGCCGCCCTGAGTCTCCGGAGAAGGGCGGCATATAAATCAAATTAAAAAAATAAATAAAAATCTAATGATTTCGAAAAATCCTTTCTTAGCGAGCACCTAGAAGCCAAGAGAAACGTAAGTGCCAAATTTCAAGTTTGTAGGCTTTACCGTTCTGGAGATTTTGTGATGAGTGAGTGGATTTCGCTTACAGAATGGATTAGATTTTAAAACCTGGGGCACTGTGAAAAGGAAAGATGGCTACAGATATCCGAATTCCAGGGGGCTTCCTTTCTTTGAAGGGTTTTAAGCAAACCAGAAGAAAGAGGGCTAGGAATGAGGGCAACGATGCCCTGCTTGGTCTTCATCCAGCTGTGTTGGCACAGATTCCCAGACCGAAACTGGACCTTTTAATGAGGCCACGAACAAGCCCTGTTAGTTAAGGAGGTTGGCTTCATGTAAGCCGGGATGGCATCATTGAACCAAAAACACAGCAAAACAAGTCTCGGGATGATTCAGCTGGCACAGGAGGAATGTTCTGAATTTTTTATTTTCTTCCTTTTTTTGAGAGCGAGCGAGATACAGTAGTGGCTTTTCATTCGCAGCTGTGTCATAGAGCAGCAGCCCCAATGAGTCATGAAAAATGGGACTTTGGGGCCAAGAGTGTGTCTTGTGTGGATAAATATATCCCTATAACAGCTGCTGGGCATTCAGTCCCCCCAAAACAGTGATTTATTCTCTGTTCTCAAATGTTTCTCGACTTCGGCTGCTTTAACGTACGTGGACTTCAACTCCCAGAATTCCTCAGCCAGCCACGGAGATCCACCAATTGGGGTGTGGTGGTGATTCTCCTTGGTGATTCTTTGATTAGGGTAGTGCTTCCTGCGTGCTTGTTTGTTTGTCTGGCGTCAATCCCTGCTTATCTAGTTAAGATAAGGATGAGGATGTGTTAGTAAAGCTACAATAGTGGCCAAAATTGTGGAAACCTTTTGGGAAAAGTGTGTTTTCTAAAACTAGCTAATAACAACACTTTTTTTGGTGGAGTAGTACCAATAAAATTATATATCAATGGAAACATAATTTAATCAAGAATGTAATACAATGAAAGAAACAAAGTCAAAGCGGAAGCCAGATTTGCTTAACAACTGTGTTACAAAATTTAAAAACTGCAATGATTCACTTAACAACTGCCAAGAAAGGTCATAAAATGGGACAAAATTCACTTAACTCACTTACATTGCAAGACATTTTGGGCTCAGTTGTGGTTGTAATTCGAGGACTACTTGTATTGAGTGGATTAAAGAGAGCTGTTTAACTCTAATGTTGTTAACTTGGCAACATTAAGATATGTGGACTTCAGCTCCCAGAATTCCCCAGCCAGAAAAGCTGACTAAGGAATTCTGGGAGTTGACATCCACACGTCTTTTAAGCCATCAAGGTTGAAAAACACTGGGTTACAAGAATGCTATTTTGTTCTTCTAGGATAGAAGAATAAAATCTTGAAGCTCTGCCAAAACTTTCTTCCGCCTCCCCTTATACCAAATAGAATCTAAGTGAGGTTTCCTTGAGTTTCTTTCTCACTCTTTCCGTGGCTGGCTGGGGAGTTCTGGGAGCTGCAAATCCATTCATCCTCAAAGGGCCCAAGGTTGAAAAACTCTGCTCTCTACGGACTAAAAATGGAATTCTATTTTGCATTTCTCGGTTGCTTTTTATAGAGGCAAAGATTTGCACCTGCTCCTTCAAAGTTTGCTTCTTGAAATATCTCTGGTTTCTTTTTGTGGTATTATAAAATTGACGCCTGTAAAATGTTCCCACTGCAGGTGGGATCCCCTGTGATTAAAATGCTCCTCTCTCTCTCTCTCTCTCTCTCTCTCTCTCTCTCTCTCTCTCTCTCTCTCTCCCTCCCTCCCTCCCTCCCTCTCTCTCTCTCTCCCCACCCCTCTCTCTGTATACATATATGTACCAAGTCATCTTGGTACACAGATGACTTACTCTCTAGGGAAAAATACTGTGGGGGTTAAGACACCCCTAACCTCTCAGGGTGTGTGGGTGTTCCAGCATAACTCTGGAATGCCTAGGCCACTGAAATGAAAAGAAATGAATGATATCTATAGTGTCAAATCACAGTACTTTTGACAGTGATAGTGTGCATTTTTGATTCAACTTCTGTTAAGATACAGCCTGTTGTGCCTTAAAATGGCTTCTACTGTACAGACAGTGGAGTTGCCATGGTAACGGTTTCACAGTACTCCACAAGGAGGCTCCCTCTGGTAAGGGGGATTGGTTCTTAAAAAAAAAACAAAAAACACCCTAGGCCCTCAGCTTCAAGCAAAGAGGGCAAGTTGTCAGGGGAGGTGCCTGCTAATGTAGATAATCCCTTCAAAGGCAGGATTGGGATAAATAAATACCCGGGCAATGCCGGGTTATCAGCTAGCATAGGGGTCTGCAACCTTAAACACTCGAAGAGCCATTTGGACCCATTTCCCACAGAAAAGAAAACACCGGGAGCCACAAAACCTGGGTGGGCGTGGCCAACTCGACTTCACTCACTTACACCAGTCACATGACCTTCCCCCCAGCCACGCCTACCCAGCCAGTCATTAGGTCAGAGAACCACTTCTCCATCACCCGCCACTGCCCTTACCTTCTCAGGCCAGGCGAGGAGTGACTGGGAAGCGAGGGGCAGGGCCAGCCAGTGGTGAGATCACCTGACAGGGAGCCACAGCAGAGGGCCCAAAGAGCTGCAAGCGGCTCCAGAGCCGCAGGTTTTCTGAGGTTTTCATGGATGTTTGTATGTAGGTCTTTGGTTATTCAGGTTTTCTCCCGCGTAAAATTGGAGGTGTCTTGGCAACGTTTCGACGAAGTCTCATTTGTCATCTTCAGGCTGGTGTTTTCGGCTTCGTGCTTCTAGGAGCAATGTGTGTGATCGCAGCTGTTTCTTCCTTTTATATATATATAACAGCTTGCTAGCTGTTAGAAAGGAAAAAAGCCCAGAACTGAGTAGATGTGATTCTACTGAGCTGGAGCTACAAAAAACCTTGGTTACATAGGGAAAACCTGGCTAGAAGAAAAACATATATATCTATATCTATATCTATATCTATCTGTCTGTCTGTATGTGTGTATATGTATATGTATGTATGTATATATGTATGTATATGCATATTCTTTCTAGCCAGGTTTTACCTACGTAAACTTAGTTGTTCTTCAGCCCTAGGTTCTGTGAAATCTCATTCACAAGTTTCTGGCCCTTTTTTCTGCTGACAAACTGCAACTCTGTGTTGCTCTCTGGGACACAGAGTTGCAGTTTGTCAGCAGAAAAAAGGCCCAGAAACTTGTGAATGAGATTTCACAGAACCTAGGGCTGTAGAAGAACTCAGTTTACGTAGGTAAAACCTGGCTAGAAAGAATATGCACATAAAAGCCTACGAAAAAGAAAAAAGATACATTGTACCTTTACAGGAAGGATGTATGTATATGTTTGTATAAATCAAGAAACTAAAGCAAAAAAAAATTTCTCATAGAATTTTCTTCTCCCTGGGAAAACAATCTTTAGGTGAAGGATCGAGGTCCAGAAGCCACACGGCGTTTCTTTAACTGGTTTTACTGGAGCATCAATTTGGGAGCCATCCTGTCCCTGGGAGGCATCGCGTACATCCAGCAGAACGTCAGTTTCGCCGTCGGCTACATCATCCCCACGGTTTGCATCGGGGTCTCCTTCGTGGTCTTCCTGTGTGGCCAGAGCGTGTTCATCACCAAGCCGCCGGACGGCAGCGCCTTCACCGACATGTTCAGAATCCTGGCTTATTCTTGCTGTAACCGAAAACAGCCAGAGCGCTTTTCCGGCCCGAGGTAGGTAGAAGTGAAGGCTGGGGGGGCGGGGGGGGGGATCTTATTCCCAGGAGGCTGGACCCGAAGAGACTCGGTGGGTGTAAAAACAAGAGTCTGGGTGTGCATTCAGTTTGCGTTGCTTGGGATTATTATTATTATTATTATTATTATTATTATTATTATTATTATTATTAATTCAATTTATATACCGCCCTTCTCCTAGTGGACTCAGGGCGGTGCACAGCCAAAACTAAAATACATAACAATACAAAATTTAAAATTAATTAAAAGAATTCCCGGGAGGCCTCTGTTAAAGCAGCTTTGGGAGGCCTTGAAAGTGAATAGTCCCTAATAGGTATTTTTGCTCAGCTCCTCTGTTGTCTCTGTGTGCGTTTGTGGTTCTTGAAGGCCCCCAAAACTGCACTATGAAATTTGGATGGGCGGTTACTCTACAATATAGCACCCCCTTTTCTTCTCTTCCCTTTTTCACTTTCTCTCCCTTCCCTTCCCCTTTTTTCTTCCTTCCTTCCTCCCTTCCTTCCCTTTCCTCCCGCCCTCCCTCTTTCTCCTTCCTCTCTTCCTTCCCCTTCCTCCTTTACCCCTCCCTCCCTCTCCTCCCTCCCTTTCTCCTTTCCTTCCTTCCCTTCCTCTCTTCCTCCCTCCCTCCTTCCTTCTTTCTCCTTTCCTTCCTTCCTCCCTCCCTCCCTCCTTCCCTCTTTCTCCTTTCCTTTCCTTCCCTCCCTCCCTCCCTCCCTCCCTCTCTTCCTCCTTCCCTCTTCCTCCTTTCCTTCCTTCCTTGCCCTTCCCCGTACTTTCCCCTCCCTTCCCTTCCTTCCCCTTCTTCCTCCCTGCCTCCTTCCTTCTTTCTCCTTTCCTTCCTTCCTTCCCTTCCTCTCTTCCTCCCTCCCTCCTTCCTTCTTTCTCCTTTCCTTCCTCCCTCCCTCTCTTCCTCCTTCCCTCTTCCTCCTTTCCTTCCCTTCCTTCCTCCCTCCCTCCCTCTTTCTCCTTTCCTTCCTTCCTTCCCCTTCCCCCTACTTTCCGCTCCCTCCCCTTCCTTCCCCTTCTTCCTCCCTCCCTTCTTCCTTCTTCCTCCTTTCCTTCCTCCCTCCCTCCCTCTCTCCCTCCTTCCCTCTTTCTCTTCCTTCCTTCCCCTTCCCCCTACTTTCCCCTCCCTCCCCTTCCTTCCCCTTCTTCCTTCCTCCCTTCCTCCCTCCTCCCTTTCTCCTTCCCTCTTTCTCCGTTCCTTCCTTCCTCCTTCTCTCTTTCTCCTTTCCTTCCTTCCTTGCTTGCTTCTTTCTTTTTTCCTTCCTTCCTCCCTCCCTCTCTCCCTTTCCACCCCACCCCACCCCATCATATACAGAGCATTTCAGAAAGTTCATGCAAGCCTTTGGACATTTTCCAGAAAAAACAACAATCCTGCCTTCAATCTGAAAGAATTTCAATTTTTGATGTGCACCCTAACCAACAGGCAGTCTTCAATGTAGTATGTCCCCATCCCACCCCTTCTTTGAGTCAACTGATTCTTCGCCTTTGGCACCCCTGAATATTTGGCACCCACCGCCTTTAAAAAAAAGCCCAGCTCCAAAGTCTTTGGGTGATGCAGCTGAAAAGGAATAAATTTTCATTTTCTCTTCAAAGGGGCAGCCAAGGGATCCTTCACCCGTATCAGCCTTCCAAGGACAGCCTTTTTGAAGCGGCCAAGGCCTCCCACGGGGGCCCTTTCCGAGAAGACAAAGTGGAAGACGTCAAGGCCTTGGTCAAAATCATCCCCGTCTTTTTGGCTCTCATCCCGTACTGGACAGTCTACTTCCAGGTGAGCGGATCAACCGTGGTTCGAAAAGAGCCGAGGTGGTGCAGTGGTTAGAGTGCAGGATTGCAGGCTACTTCAGATGACTGCTAGCTGAAGTTCGGCAGTTCAAATCTCACCAGGCTCAAGGTTGACTCAGCCTTCCATCCTTCTGAGATGGGTAAAATGAGGACCCAGATTGCTGGGGGAAAGAGGCTATTTATATTTCTTCTATTTCTGTTTCTGTTATTTCTATTTCTATTCTGCCATGGTGGCGCAATGGTTAGAATGCAGTATTGCACAGAAACTCTGCCCACTGCCAGCAGTTCAATTCTGACCTGCTCAAGGTTGACTCAGCCTTCCTTCCTTCTGAAGTGGGTAAAATGAGGATCTTCCTTCCATGGTACACAGTGGTTAGAATGCAGCATTGCAGGCAAACTGCCCACTGCCAGCAGTTCGATTCTGAACCGGCTCAAGGTTGACTCAGCCTTCCATCCTTCCCAGGATGGACCCAGTGTCAAGTTTCGAGGTCGTCTCAAATAAATTGCATTTCAAACAAAGTCTTTGATGAAAAACTTCCATTTATTAAGCACGATATTCTAACTCCGACTCCATCGTAGCCAACACTGACTTCCTGACCCAAAACCCTCCTTTTCCTTTCCCCACTCCTCTGCACTCCTTGGCCGTCTTCCAAGTCACTCTACCCCTAATCTACTGCTCCAGCTCAAAGGAATTTCCCCCCTCCCATCCCATCTCCTAGGGGATATTATCTCCAGGGAAAATAAGTAGGTGAAAAGTCAAACGTCCCTTTCCAGACGCCTCCGCTTCTCCTTCTTATGTCAGCACTAGAGTAAATGCAGCTTGAAGTGCTGACACCCAGATTATTGGGGACCATATGCTGACTCTGTAAACTGTTTCTGGGTTTTGTAAAGAACACTAATGAACAATAAATCCTTTTGACTTCACAGATGCAGACCACCTACGTCCTCCAGAGTCTCCACCTGAGAATTCCACAATTTTCCAACAGCACGTCAAACGGCACCACGAATGCCCACACGGTGAGCCACACAGTGAAAACAGGATAACAGAGTTGGAAAGGACCTTGGGAATCTTCTAGTCCAGCCCTCCCCATTGGTTGACCTGTTGCTATGCCTATTCCAGTCCATGAATATTCATACTCTGACACTTCCCTCCAGAAGTGCTCCAACACTGGAGGTTTTCATCAAGAGATTGGACAGCCATTTTGCCAGAATGGTATAGAATCTCCTGCTTCAGCAAGGGGTAGGACTAGAGCAGGGGTCTCCCAACAGTGGTGAAATCCTGCCAGTTCTGTCCAGTTCGCGCAAATCTGTAGCGGCAGCAAGGTGTGGTTCGGCGAACCTGTAGCGGCAGAAGCACAAGGCTCCGCCCATCTGCTCAGACATCGTTACTTCCTGGTTTTTAACCCTCTGTGCATGGGGAAAGCCTGCTCATGCGCAGAGGGTAAAAAATCGGGCGTGAGGATGGCGTGCACACTTCCGAACCGGTAGGGAAGATAAGTAGATTTCACCCCTGGTCTCCAACCTTGGCAACTTTAAGCCTGGCGGATTTCAACTCCCAGAAGCAACGCCAGCAGGGGAATTCTGGGAGTTGAAGTCCGCCAGTCTGTAAAGTTGCCAAGGTTGGAGACCCCTGGACTACATGACCTCCAAGTTGGTCTCTTCCAACCCTCTTACTCTACGTTCTATGTTTTCTAACTAGATTAAGCAATTGGACTGTCAGCGTTCCAGAAAAACCCCCCAATTCCAAGTAAAAACTCTGAAGCAAGCATTTTTCAAAGTTCTATTTACTAGAATCGGTAAACTGGCACATCTGGGAAAACCCGAATCTGAGAGGTCCGGGTTTTCCCTCAGTAAATCAAAACCCCCAAAACCATCCCCTCAGTCCTCAGACGATCACATGCTCCAATCAACGTCCGTCCCATCTCGAGACAGCACTCCGACCACTCCTCCTCCAGATTTATTTATTTATTTTATTTATTTGATTTGATTTCTATACCGCCCTACTCCCGAAGGACTCAGGGCGGTGCACAGCCAAACAATAAAACACATACATACAAAATTTAAAAGCAGAATTAAAATCAAATTAAATAGTTTTGGCCCAGACAAATTAAAACCCCAACTATTTAAAACCAATTTTAAAATTTGAATATATAAAATGCTAAAAGATATTAAAAAATTAAAATTCTTTTATAAAAGAGGGAGAAAGTTAGGCCTGGCCCGCCTGGTGAAATAATAAGGTCTTTAGAGCGTGGTGGAAGGTGCGCAGATCCGGGATCCTCCGTATCTCCGGGGGGAGCTCGTTCCAGATGGCAGGTGCCCCCCCAGAGAAGGCCTTCCCCCTGGGGGCCGTCAGTCGACATTGTTTGGCCGACGGCACCCGGAGGAGCCCCTCTTTATGGGAGCGTACCGGCCGGTGGGAGGCTATTGGTGGTAGCAGGCGGTCCCGCAAGTACCCAGGTCCTGAGCCATGGAGCACTTTAAAGGTGGTAACCAAAACCTTGAAGCGCACCCGGAAGACCACCGGGAGCCAGTGCAGCTCGCGCAGGAGGGGTGTTACATGGGAACGCCAAGTCGCTCCCATTACCACCCGCGCGGCCGCACTCTGCGCCAGTTGGAGCCTCCGGGTGCTCCTCAAGGATTGCCCTGACCTTGACCAACAGGAAAAATGTCATTATGTCTACAGACAACCCCTCTACTAATTCCCCCCTCCTACTTTTCCCACACATGAGAAGAAGGTGGCACCATGGAAGCTTCCGGCCTAATATGGCTTCCAAAGCTGACATGGACTTTTGTTTTTTGCTGCAGTGCTTAAAAAACAGGAAGGTTTCCAAACGCCTTTCCGTATGTCCATTCGGGTCAGCCTGTGATCCTGAAGCCATCGCGTCCGGGAAATCCGCAAAACCGAAGGTCAACATATCTCCAATTGGAGAGGCCCGCTTCCCCTCCAGCCCCCACCCCCCAAATTCATTTGGAATGCCTGTTCCATCAGTTGACCTATCCCTTAACCCCGTCTTGCCCATTTTCAACATTCCTGGTGCATTTTATCCGGCATGAATATTTAATGATTAGAGTCATTGTGGTTATCAAAAAAAAAAAAAAATCCTGTCGGAGATCTTGGCCGTTTTCCCGTTTAATTGGGACTTTTCACCCTTCCCCTCTTGAACTTTTCCCGGAGATTACAGAGGAGGGAGTAACCTTCTGCAAGCGGCTAAGGGTATGTTGGCTTGACCCAGGTCAAAATCTTGCAAGGTGGAAATTTTAATGAAGAGCAGGGCATCTGCAGAAGGTCAGAGACAACAGAGAGAGGGCAAGTGCAGAGCCCAGCTCTGTGTTGGTGTAAATAACTATTTTAGGAACAATTTTGCTGTGCGGATCATGCGTGCTGATGTTTTAACCTATGATCCCTCGTAAAACTGTCATTCTTCTCCGCTTGTGGGGTGATGAGGACAGATCCTTAATGAGTTTACAGTTTCTGCGTGTCAGAAATGGGCGGGAAGTATGGAGGGGGGAGATTTTAATTTCTCTGCCGGCAGGATTTTTGCTTTTTAGCTTCTGGGAAGTTGGCTGGCCGGCACCAAGGATTTAGCAGATGTTGTCCAAAGCCACCAAGCCATAGGGACAAATGCAAAGTAGAACGGCTTGCCTCCAGAAGTTGTGGGTGTGCTCCAACAGTGGAGGTTTTTAAGAAGAGATTGGACAAACCATTGGTCCGAAATGGCGTAGGGTGTCCTGCCGGTGCTGGGGGTTGGACTAGAAGACCTCCAAGGTCCCTTCCAAGTCTGCTATTCTGTTATTCTGTAAATAGAGCCGTGGTGGCGCAGTGGTTAGAGTGCAGTACTGCAGGCTACTTCTGCTGACTGCCGGCTGACTGCAATTTGGCAGTTCGAATGTCACCAGGCTCAAGGTTGACTCAGCCTTCCATTCTTCTGAGGACCCAGATTGTTGGGGGCAATAGGCTGATTCTGTAAACTGCTTAGAGAGGGCTGGAAAGCACTGTGAAGCGGTATATAGGTGTAAATGCTCCTTCCTTCCTTCCTTCCTTCCTTCCTTCCTTCCTTCCTTCCTTCTTTCCTTCCTTCCTTCTTTCCTTCTTTCCTTCCTGTGCAGTGGTTAGAATGCAGTATTGCAGGCTAATTCTGCCTACAGCTAGGAGTTTGATTCTCACTGACTCAAGTTTGACTCAGCCTTCCCTCCTTCCGAGGTGGGTAAAACGAGGACCCAGATTGTTGGGGGCAAGAGGCTGACATTGTAAACCGCTTAAAGAGGGGCTGCAAAGCACTGTGAAGCGGTATATAACTCTAAGTGCTGTTGCTATAGTAGGTTCTGTTCTCTCACACACATTAATCATTGCTGACATGGGGTTGAGGTGCCTCACCGAGCCACACGATGGCTATCTGCAAAAAACAGAGATCCCGTGTTGAAGACTAGAGGGCTGAATTTGGGTTGTTGCCTTCCTCTCTTTCCCCACCACAGTTTTTAACAGATTAATAGAGTTGGAAGGGACCTTATAGGTCATCTAGTCCAACCCCCTGCCCAAGCAGGAGATCCTACACCATTTCTGACAGATGGTAGTCTAGTCTCTTCTTGAAAGCCTCCAGTGATGAAGCTCCCACAACTTCCAAAGGCAACTTCTGTTCCATTGGTTGATTATTCTCACTGTCAGAAAATTCCTCCTTATTTCCAGATTGAATCTCTCTGTGATCAGTTTCCATCCATTATTCCTTGTCTGGCCTTCAGGTGCTTTGGAGAATAGCTTGACCCCCTCCTCTCTGTGGCAGCCCCTCAAATATTGGGACATTTCTATCATGTCTCCACTGGTCCTTCTCTTCACTAGACTAGCCATGCCCAGTTCCTGCAACCGTTTCATCATATCTTTTAGCCTCTAGTCTCCTAATCATCCTGGTTGCTCTTCTCTGCACTCTTTCTAGAGTCTCAACGTCTTTTTTATAGTGTGGTGACCAAAACTGGATGCAAGATTCTAGGTGTGGTCTTACTAAGGCTTTATTGTCAGGGTGGCAATTAATCCCATTCTGCTTTTGGTAATTGCACCTTGATTAGAGAATGGATCGTGACCTTCCCTTGAAGTATACTTTAAGAAAATAAACCCGAAGATATATTTTCTAAGAAAAAACTCATTTATTTGTTATAAAGAAAATAAAACATCTTACTAATCTAATTAGTTACATCTTGGCAGCTTTCCCGGCCAGACCTCTCTTGGCCGGAGAACAAAGAAAGAGATAAAAGAAAGTGAAAGAATGTGGACATGCGCAGTTAGCTTAGAGATAAGAACTTGGCAAGCTACGGTAAATCTGAAAGTTCAAAAATAAAAGCTCATCTGGTAAATACAAAAACGCAGTGACATTTATAGAGTGGTATTAGTTCCTGCAACCGTTCTTCATATGTTTGAGTCTCCAATCCTCTAATCATCTTCGCTGCTCTTCTCTGCACTCTTTCTAGAGTCTCAACGTCTTTTTTTTATAGTGTGGAATCCTATTTTATATTTATATCTTGATTGATAAAATATTTATATATTTATATATAAAATATTTATATTTTATAGTTCCCCGCGGCTTGGCTGACCATGTTTGATGCTGTGCTGATCCTCATCCTCATCCCCCTCAAAGACAAAGTGGTGGATCCCATCTTGAAGAGGAAGGGGCTGCTTCCTTCCTCCCTGAAGAGAATCGCCTTTGGGATGTTCTTCGTCATGTGCTCTGCGTTCGCTGCAGGTGAGGCCCAGGATTTTGGGTTATGGAGTGGCACTGGTTATGGATACCACCGGTGTCATGATTTAGATCTCCGCTCAGAAACGCCACTTTTTATAGCCATTCGATTTCTAGGAGTTGCTCTAATTAACGACTTTAGCTGTTAGGTTTGCTCTCCTATAACGGCCGGCGACTTAGGCATTCAGCGAAGCGGTCGTTAAGTGAAACTGAGGCTGCACTTACAGCCTTCTGACCTGCGAAGGTCATCCGTGTAAGCCTTGGTTGTTACGTGACCGTTTTCATCACCGTCGTTCACTTCGTACGGTTGCAACACGAGGCCGTCGCTAAATGTTGGGAGAACACTTTGCTTTGGCCAACCAAAATGTCCAGTTATCCTGAAATCTTCACTAGTGGTTTAACATCTGTGGGCATTATAGGGCAGAGTTCCCCAACCATCCCAGCTTTGTGGTCCGGCAGGAGGGTGGGGGTGAGGGTGGATGGGGCAGAGGGGTCAATTTTGCACAAGGGTCCAGCTAGCATGTGCCTGTGTGTGTGCACGCATGCGCAGCTTCCTTTCCGCGAGTGGGGTGCATGCGTGCATGCAGCTCACACAAATGTGCTGGCCTGCTGTTTCTGCGGCTCGATTGCAAACAGCTCACGGTCCACTACTGCAGTGGTGGATTGCTCCCGGTTCAGTCCGGTTCTTGCGAACCGGTAGTAACAGCAGTGGGAGGCTCCGCCCACCCGCCCGGACGTCAGCATGAACGATCTGCACATGCACAGACGCGCGCACGCTCCTGTTGCGAACTGGTAGCGGAGGTAAGTAGAATCCACCCCAGAACTAGTGGGCCGCAGCCCAGAGGTTGGGGATCCCTGTTCTTCTTCTTCATCATCATCATCATCATCTTTTAATGACCCCATAATCCCTTGCGGGTGGAGTCTGGGCAACTGAATGGAGCTGAGTGTTTACTGGCCAGATGCCTTTCCTGTTGCCAATGTGGAGTTATATTCAGCAGATAGATTCTCATCGTGCCCAGAGAGAGAAATATCTGTCTCTACCTAGGATCGAACTCACAGCCTCCTGATTGTGAGGCGAGAGCTCCACCTCTAGACCACCGCACCACTCTCTGGGGAACCCTGTTATAGGGGTCTAAACCAGTGATGGTTAAAAATTTTCTCGTCGTGTGCTGAAAGCGCGCGTGTACGTGTCAGCACCCATAATGCAATGCACCCCCTCTGTGCATGCACGCACAACTTCCCCCATACACACACGTATGCGACTCTCCCGCCCCCATTAAAAACTGGCCACGGGGGGGGGCGCCACACTCCCCCGCATTACCCTCTGCCCACGCCACACATGCGTGCAAAAATCCCCGTGCATGTGCATGAGTCTCCTGCATGCACTCCCCCCACGCATCCCGAAAATCAGCTGGCTGGCGGGAGGCACGCACGCATGCATGGTACAGCTGAGCTAGGCAACGGCTCGCATACCCGCAGAAAGGGCTCTGCGTGCCAGCTGTGGCACGCGTGCCATAGGTTCGCCATCATGGGTCTAAACCCATCTTAATTCTCTTTCTGATGGTTTGGATTACACCGCACGGGTTGATCCGAAACAGGATGACCAATCGGGGCGAGCGCCGTGGGTAGACGCAACCGTGCAATCAAAACTGTAATGCTTTGTACACGCGGGTGAGGTCGGGGACAACGTGGCGGAAATGCACGGTTGAACATCAGACGGGCGTTGCTGATTGCGAGTCATATCCTGTGCGTTTTCCCTTCCAGGAATATTGGAAAGCGACCGGCTGAGGAGAGTCAAGACCAAAACCATTGATCAGAAGATTGGGACGGCCGTCTACCATGCAGCCGACATGTCCGTCTGGTGGCAGGTCCCTCAGTATATTCTGATCGGGATCAGCGAAATCTTAGCCAGCATTGCAGGTTGGTTTGCCGTGTCGCATTGTGTGACAGGAAAACAGCCCCCCCCCTTTAATCTTCTTTCATTCGGTCTTTTTAATTCCCTAGCTGACCCAGGGGTCAGCAACCTGTGGCTACGGAGCCACATCTGGCTCTTTGGGCTCTCTGCTATGGCTCCCTGTCGGGTGATCTCACCACTGGCTGGCCCCGCCAGCCATACAGAGATACAGAGAGAGAGGGAGAGAGAGAGACAGAGAGAGATACAGAGAGAGGGAGAGAGACAGAGACAGAGAGAGATACAGAGAGAGGGAGAGAGACAGAGACAGAGAGAGATACAGAGAGAGGGGAGGAGAGACAGAGAGAGATACAGAGAGAGGGAGAGAGACAGAGACAGAGAGAGATACAGAGAGAGGGGGAGAGAGAGAGACAGAGAGAGATACAGAGAGAGGGAGAGAGAGAGACAGAGAGAGATACAGAGAGAGGGAGAGAGACAGAGACAGAGAGAGATACAGAGAGAGGGGGAGAGAGAGAGACAGAGAGGGGGGAGAGAGAGAGAGACAGAGAGATACAGAGAGAGGGAGAGAGAGAGACAGAGAGAGATACAGAGAGGGGGAGGAGAGAGAGGGGGAGAGAGGGGAGAGAGAGAGAGACAGAGGGGGAGAGAGAAAGAGATACAGAGAGAGAGGGGGAGAGAGAGAGAGAGAGAGAGATACAGAGAGAGGGGGAGAGACAGAGAGAGATACAGAGAGGGGGAGAGAGAGAGGAGGGGGAAGAGAGAGGGGGGGGAGAGAGAAAAGAGAGATACAGAGAGAGGGGGGAGAGAGAGAGACAGAGGGAGATACAGAGAGAGGGGGAGAGAGAGACAGAGAGATACAGAGAGAGGGGGAGAGAGAGAGAGGGGAGAGGGGGAGAGACAGAGACAGAGAGGGGGAGAGAGAAAGATACAGAGGGGGAGAGAGAGGGAGAGAGACAGAGAGAGGGGGAGAGAGAGAGAGAGAGATACAGAGAGAGGGAGAGAGAGAGACAGAGAGAGATACAGAGAGAGGGGGAGAGAGAGAGACAGAGAGATACAGAGAGAGGGAGAGAGAAAGAGGGAGAGAGAGATACAGAGAGAGGGAGAGAGAGAGACAGAGATACAGAGAGGGGGAGAGAGAGGGGGGAGAGAGAGACAGAGGGGGAGAGAGAAAGAGAGATACAGAGAGAGAGGGAGAGAGAGAGAGAGAGATACAGAGGGGGGGGGAGGAGAGAGAGAGAAAGAGAGAGGGGGAGAGAGACAGAGAGATACAGAGAGAGAGGGGGAGGAGAGAGAGACAGAGAGAGATACAGAGAGAGGGGGAGGAGAGAGAGAGATCAGAGAGGGGGAGGGGAGATAGAGAGACAGAGAGAGATACAGAGAGAGGGGGAGAGAGAGAGACAGAGAGAGATACAGAGAGAGGGGGGAGAGAGAGAGAGAGATACAGAGAGGGGGAGAGAGAGAGACAGAGAGAGATACAGAGAGAGGGGGAGAGAGAGAGAGAGATACAGAGAGAGGGGGAGAGAGAGAGACAGAGAGAGATACAGAGAGAGGGGGAGAGAGAGACAGAGAGAGATACAGAGGAGGGAGAGAGACAGAGACAGAGAGAGATACAGAGAGGGGGGAGAGAGAGGACAGAGAGATACAGAGAGAGGGAGAGAGAGAGACAGAGAGAGATACAGAGAGAGGGAGAGAGACAGAGACAGAGAGAGATACAGAGAGAGGGGGGAGAGAGAGAGAGAGACAGAGAGAGGGGGAGAGAGAGAGACAGAGAGAGAGATACAGAGAGAGGGAGAGAGAGAGACAGAGAGAGATACAGAGAGGGGGAGAGAGAGAGGGGGGAGAGAGGGAGGAGAGAGAGGACAGGGGGGAGAGAGAAAGAGATACAGGAGAGAGGGGGAGAGAGAGAGACAGAGAGAGATACAGAGAGAGGGGGAGAGACAGAGAGAGATACAGAGGGGGAGAGAGAGAGGGGGGGAGAGAGAAAGAGAGATACAGAGAGAGGGGGGAGAGAGAGAGACAGAGGAGATACAGAGAGAGGGGGAGAGAGAGACAGAGAGATACAGAGAGAGGGGGGAGAGAGAGAGGGAGGAGAGAGGGGGAGAGACAGAGAAGAGAGGGGGGAGAGAGAAAGATAAGAGAGGGGGAGAGAGAGACAGAGAGAGGGGGGGAGAGAGAGAGAGAGAGATACAGAGAGAGGGAGAGAGAGAGACAGAGAGAGATACAGAGAGAGGGGGAGAGAGAGAGACAGAGAGATACAGAGAGAGGGAGA